CGACTAGAAAGTTTTTTTTAATTAGTGGTGTTTTTGTTATTGATTTAATAAAAAAACATTTTTTAAACATGCGTAAATGTTGCTACATCGACTATCTTATAGCCTGACTCGCAACGGAGTGCTGCTACATCGACTGACAAATAGCCTGACTCGCAACGGAGTGCTGCTACATCGACTGACAAATAGCCTGACTCGCAACGGAGTGCTGCTACATCGACTGACAAATAGCCTGACTCGCAAGGGAATGCTGCTACATCGACTGACAAATAGCCTGACTCGCAAGACAGTGCTGCTACAACGACTGACAAATAGCCTGACTCGCAAGAGAGTGCTGCTACATCGACTGAGGGTTTGGTTTGGCCAGGCAGTCTATCAATTAAAAAAAAAAAATTAATATTAAAAACTTTTTCTGGTCTGGTTTATTAACGCGCTCTTTAAAACTACAGTTTATGGGAAATATTTTTTGATGCTACGCAAGAGACATGCAAGACTATATATATATATATATATATATATATATATATATATATATATATATATATATATATATATATATATATATATATATATATATATATATATATATATATATATATATATATATGTACATATATATATACATATATATATATATATATATATATGTATATATATATGTGTGTGTATATATAATATATATATACATGTATATATATATATATATATATATATATATATATATATGTGTATATATATATATAATGTATATATATATATATATATATATATATATATATATATATATATATATATATTGTTGTTTTGATTATTTGATAATAATCAACTTTTTTTTGATTTGAGAGTGATCAATATAAAGTGAAATAATCACAAAATAGATCAATAAATAAATAAATAAATAAATAAAAGGTTAGATGAAAAAAAACAACTTTTTTACGGTATTTAAAGTTTCATGCAGTTTTCGGCACTCATCAGCCATATATTTGAATCAAGAAAAAACCGTTCAAAAATACAATTAAAAAACCGTTTTTCCCACTTTTTAACTGTAGATAATCTGCGTCTGTGGTCCTTATTTGCATCCATTTATTGCTATTAATTTAAACTTAGTAAGTATACTAACAAACTTTAGAGAGTTTTTTTTTAATAACTAGTTTAGGGTCTGTATTGCCTTCCACAATTCTTTGCAAATTAAACTAATAAAAATATCATTAAATTTGTTCATAATGAATGAGCAAAATCAGAATAAAGCCCTTGAGAATTCCAGTTAAGAAAATGACTTTTCAATCAATTAACTTTTCTTTTTTTAATCAAAATCTTTCATTACTTGATTCGAAAAGGTATTTTTTTACATTTTTACTAATACATTTTTGCTAATTGATTTTCTAAATATTTTATTTTGCGTTATAAAAGTAATAACACTATAATAGTGTTATTACTTTTATAACGCACTTATAACTTTAATAATTCTTTTTTTGTTCAAACAACATAAGTAATCCCAAATTTTAATTGAAGTAGAAAAGTATCTACAAAAATAAGAGTGGATATTCACATAATATTAAAAACTTTAGGAACTTTAATAACTTTAAAAAATGTACTTGAAAAGTTTGTAAAAATGCGCGTAAAATGCGCGTTATTTTTAAAATCAACCAATGAAACATTTTCATTTATTGATTTTAAAATTAAAGTGTGTTTTTATAAGTTATTAGTAATGTTTTTCATTATGCTAAACTTTTTATAAAGTGCATTTTTATATAGTTGTATAATTATATTTGTAAAAGTTCCTGAAGTTTTAATAATTTTTGAATATCCACTTTATTTTTTGTATATGCCTTTCTACTTTAATTAAAGTTTGAATTACTAATGCTGTTTGAATAAAGAATGAACTTTAAAAGTTATAATATAATAAGTGCTTTATAAAAGCAATAACACTATTATAGTTTTATTACTTTTATAATGCAGTTAGTGACTAAAGTGTTGTTTCTTTTGTAGTCATAAGTTTGTTTTATTTTTTGTGACTTTTTAGCTAACAATTTTAAGTTGATACGCTCCTTGAAAACAAAGAACACTGTTTTCCATGAACTAAAATTTTGAATTTTCAGATATTTTTCCAGTTTTTTGCGCTTCGCGATCGCTTAAATCAACCCTTGTATATATATATATATATATATATATATATATATATATATATATATATATATATATATATATATATATATATATATATATATATATATATATATATATATATATATATATATATATATATATATATATATATATATAAATATATAAATATATATATATATATATATATATATATATATATATATTTATATATATATATATATATATATATATATATATATATATATATATATATATATATATATATATATATATATATATATATATATATATATATATACAAGGGTTGAATTAAGCGATCGCGAAATAGCGCTTGAACCGAAACTGATATAAAAATAGTTTCAGCCTTATCTTGTTGGAAATTTAATTTAATTTTAATTCTGATATTAAAATTTTAATGGAGCTAGAACAAAAAGTTAAAAAAATCAAAAAAGTAAAAAAAACTCTTTTCTCTGATAAAACCACGCGCTTGATTAATTATTTAGTTTAGTTTTTCGCAAGTGACTAAAGGCCTATCTCTATCTAATTAACTTAGTGTTAATTCTGGTTTAATTAAAAATGAACTATAATGTTATTTGTTAATATAATTATCTCTTACTTATTTAAAACCAATTATTATATTATTTCTCAATATAATCATCACTCACTTATTTCAATTTAACTCACTCACTTTAACATGTCAACTAAAAAATAGCAAGAAAGAAAGACGATATACTAGCCGCATTAACTAATATGAAATAAAATAAAACATCACTAAGTATAACTTCTGCATTGCATATTTGGAATTGTGATGAAATAGGTTTTTTGGATAATCAAGGCAAAGCAACAGTAGTGTTTCGAAAAGTGACACGAGGTGCATTTAAACTTATTGGCAACAATGAAAAAATTCATTATACTTTAACAATTGCTGCAACTCTGATGGTCATTTTGCACCACAATTTGTGATATACAAAGCCAAAAGAAACTTTCGTCCTGACTGGGCAAGAGGTGGTCCAGTTGGCACCAAATGTTCAATTTCAAAATCAGGTTGGATGGAGCATGATACGATTATTGAATAGCTAAAAGAAGTATTTATATCTGAAACTGAGCAAATTAGTGGTATTCATATTTTAGTATTAGATAGGAATACAACTTATAACTTTAGAAGCGGTATTGCTGTGCAAAAAACACTATATAATCTTGATTTGGCTACCAGAGCATTTCTCACATATTCTACTACCATTGGATAGAGGTGTATATTGTCATATCAAAAAGCATGGAAAGAAATTCTTACAAAGTATTACAAAGACTCAAAATTTAAAATTTTAGATAAACCAAATTTTACACCGTTGCTCAAACTGCTGTATGAGAGTGGTAAATGTTTTACACACTTGCGTGCAATCGCCGGTTTCCAATACACTGGCTTATTTCCACTTAAAAACAACATAAATCAAAATGCATTAGCAATCCTACAAACATTTAATTCTCCTTCATCAACTTAGCTTAGCAGCTTTCGCAGCACCTACACCATCTTGCTCAGACACAGCTTCATTATCTTCAACAGCCGCTGCAAAACCTACTCCAAATACACATCAATTACCATCTTTCTTAACTATACCAGCTTCAAGTTTTGATAGGTATCAAGCATGTATTGAGTGTTGCAAAAACAGTATCGAGATAATTTGACCAGAAATCAATCGTATGTTAAGAAATTGAAATAGTGCAACATGTCAAAACTTGGCGGAAAATGTATTACTGAAGTAAATGTGATTGAGTTCCTCAAACAAAAAAATGAGGAAAAAGCAACAAAGGAAGCTGTGAAAGTTGCTAAACTTAACAAAAAGTGTGGACTCTCTACATAGAGAGTCTACATACTTTCTACATAGAGAGTAAAGCATATATCTCTACATAGAGAGTGCAACATATATCTCTACATAGAGAGTGCGACATATATCTCTACATAGAGAGTGCAACATATATCTCTACATAGAGAGTCCAACATCTCTACATAGAGAGTCTACGTACTCTCTACATAGAAAGTGCAACTTTTAATCGTTTGGCTGCTGGTAATTGTTCTTCATTATTTTTTTGCTGAGGTTGCTCAGCATTGTTATGCTCAGGCATTTTTGAGTACTTGGCATATGGCAAGTACTCAAATGCTTGAGCATAACAATGCAAAATGTAAAATGTGTAAAGTACAGTTAAACACAGAAATGTTGCAATTCAAAAATTCGATGTGTCAGGAACGGTTGTGCAAAGAAACATGTTTAACAATTTTTTTTGTTGCAAAAACTGTAAAGATTTCAATATAGTTTCTTAAATATAAGTTTTGTTTAAAAAAAGAATAAAAAAAAGGTTAAATTTAAAAAATTGAATGTTTTCTCAAGTGTGCGGTTTTATCAGAATGTTGACTAAAACCACACAATTTTTGTTTCTTTACAATTAGTATTTTCAATAATTTTATTTTTATTTTTTTAACATATATTTATATTTTCTTTTGTAGTTTTCTATCACCTATCTAATAAAAAGAAAAAAAGAAAGAAAAAAAAAAAAGAAAGAAAAATAAAGTTATTTAATTTTTATTGATAAGTGTGCGGTTTGACCCATAGCTTCCTATTCTACTATGACATCATCAATGACATTTATTATAAGTACGCATAGATATTTGTATATATAAATATATATATATATATATATATATATATATATATATATATATATATATATATTTATTTATATAATAATGCATAGTGTGCATTTGCCAATTTTGCCCCATATTTTTTTTTAAAAAGGAAAAAATCAAGAATATTAATTAAAGTTTAATTTAAATTATATGAATTTAAATTATACATATATTGTTTATAATTTTTTGAATTCAGGTTTAACATTCGGAGTTGAGCCAAATTTATCGCACATAAAAACTGGAACGTCATTTAATTTAACCTGTGTGACTGAAGGAAATGCCACTTGGATGTTGAATGGTAATATCATTTATCCAGAATTAAATACTAATTATTACTTCAAAAATAATGTATCAGTGAATGACTCTGGATCATATAGCTGCTCAGATGGTAATAGTTCTGTAACAATCAACATCACTGTATTAGGTACGTTTTTTCTTATTTTGTTAATTTTTTAATTGTTTTTATTAGCTTAATTTTTTAATTTTTTTTATTTAGCACTGTTTACACTTTTTCACTTAGTTTTCATTGCATTATACTTGGGTAAATATTACATCATCAAACAAAATCAAAATTTATTAACTTTCCCATAAAATACTTTAGTTTGTCAACTTTCTAAAAACACCATTAAAAACGTATTTTGCCATTTTTTTTACTTATATATTTAAAAGAATTGCATATATATATATATATATATATATATATATATATATATATATATATATATATATATATATATATATATATATATATATATATATATATATATATATATGCAATTCTTGAAAAAAAGTTTAAAAAAAAATTCTTAATTCTTCGCGCTAAAGCAAATAAAAAATTATACAACTTTTAATGATACTTTAATCAAACTCATTAGCCACTTTATTTAAAAGTGTTTTGCTAATATAAAAGCGTTAGTAAAGATGAATGTGTCAAAGTTATTTATTTTAAGTGTAATTAAAAGTCGATTTTTTTAGTGCATTTATTAAAAACAGTGGTTAAATTATCAAAACAAAATATTGTTTGCGATGTATTGGTCATACATAGACTTGAAATCGCACGCCTTCCTGGCCAAGCCTGCTTAATGCACTTTGTTAACAGTTGTTGAACTAGTTTTAATGCTCTCTCTGATCCATCATTCACAATTTTAAAATTCATGATGACTGTATCAAATTCGTTATAGAGTTTATATGAAATCCAATACTCTGGAGAAAGCTTCATCTATTGAATCTCAGGTTAAAAAAGGTTAAAAAATACTTTTTATATGGTTATCAATTTCACTTGCATCCAAGAACACTATGCTCTCTGCTCCTCTGTATGAAGTGGAGTTAGAACATATAAGCTCAAACATGCATTCTCCAGAATTGACAACAACACTGCTTAAAATCCCTCTATGTTGATGTGGAGCTAAACCCACTTCATCTGCTATGTATTCAGTACAGTGCAAAATATTATTGGGGTTGTCAAAAATTATAATAATGCCTACCCTGGTACCCATCAAAAGAATGGGCTGTATATAAATGGTTACAAAGTAAATATATGAGCAGTGGGATTTAAGTGGTTAGAGGTGGAATTCAAACCATGCTCATTCTATGTATGAAATAAATACCTTAATCAAATAAGCTAAACGTGCGTATACTGATGAATAAATATAATTATATAATTAAAAAAGTGATATAGGAAATAAAAGCCTATGAGATAGATACAAAAACAAATCATAATCTACTTAACTAGATTGTTTATTTACTAATCAAAAAGGAAACATCATACTAGCAGAGCTAATTGAGTTCCTTTCCTAACAAAGAATACCCTAAGTAAGTAGAGCCAGGATTTGAACCTGCAATCTTGCTGCTACAGCCAATAATAATTCCAAACTTTCAGCAGCTTTCTAATCAACTGAGCTATCCTGGCTCAATATGTTCAAATGCATACATGAACAAACTAACACATCAGTGTATATATACATATACATATGTATTACATAGGGACAATATATAATTGTTACATTAAAGTTATACAAATATAGTTTACAAACAGGTAGCAATTTATTTTTTTGCTCTCCTCTTTAAAAAAAACAAATAAATTATAGGAAAATCAGTCTTTTTAATGTCAACTTAAAACTGTTTTTTTTTTTGCTTTGACTTTTGTTGCTAAAAATAACAGCCACCCTAAATAAACAAAAATAAAAACAGTACACAAATTATTTGAATTATTAATCTTTTGCATTTTTTTTTCATTTTTAATTTTAATTTTCTATTTTGTTAGTTTTGCTTTTTTTGTTTTTGATCTTTTTTTGGTAAAGTATTGATATAATAAAAATATAATAAATAAAATAATATAATAAAACTTGCAAATGGCCATGACCATGGTAGGCATGTATTATTGTAATAGTATTAAATACGCTACTTGCGCATTATAACTTACATTACATTATAACTGCAACTTAAGCTTTAAATTATAACTTTGGTCGTAAATTATGGATTTTAAAGGGACATTTCTCACATTTCTCTCAAAAAAAATTATTAAGTCTTAATAATTTTTACAATTAATAAAATAAAAATAATGGAAAAATGCGTTTTAAAGAGTGTTTTAAAAAAGGTTCAGTTCATCCAAGCACTCGGAGTAACTAAACTTTCGATAACAAAGCAAAAATATTGAAAAATTTTATGCCTATTTATTTTAAATATTACTTTTTTTTTAAATATTACTTATTTTACTTAAAAAATTATGATGACTGTTTTTGCCAAGTCACTTTCAAATTTTCTGAAAAAAATTAAAATTATTTAGAAGTGATGAAATGCAGAGCTTTATTTGATGCAAAAGTTTGATAGATAGAAATTTCACAGAATTAATTAATCATTTCACATCATTTTCACCTCATTTTTAATTTCTTCTTGAAAAAAAATTTCTTGCTGCTAAAGCATTTGCTTTAAGATATGAAGATTAAAACTTGCTATGTCTCTAATTGTAGATTGCCTATTTACATATGTGAATTTGTTTGTAAAGACCTCTTTTACATTGATAGGGTTATTATTAAAATTATTAAAACAAGTACTTATTAAAATGGCGCATGTTTAAAAAACAATAAAAATCATCTTCATTTTTGGTAACAGATAAATAGCTATAAATAACTATAAATATTCAGATCTTTCTATAATAAGATTTCTTTAAGTCTTTCTATTTAATAACTTTTTTATTTGTCTGTTTTTTTTTTCCTCTCATTTTTCTTGTATTAAGCACTGCACATAACATAATTTGTTATAAATTGATTTTTGTCTATTACATTAATCAATATGTTTATAGATGCATTACCAAAGCCTCAGTTAATTCTGAATAACATACCTGTTTGGTCAGGTTCCAACATTTCTGGTATATGTAATTTTTCTCTTATTTCTAAAAATGTTTTTTATAAGTTTTATTGCAATAATGAAACTGAGGAAAGTGAAAGTAGTCTTAACGAGTTTAATTTGTCAAACTTATCATCTGAAAACTCTGGAGATTACTCGTGTTCTGCGTCAATAAATGGATTTGAACCAACATTTTCTGATCCTGTAAATGTTATAGGTAATTTATTATTTGATTATTAGTAATATATATATATATATATATATATATATATATATATATATTATATATATATATATATATATATATATATATATATACACACACACATATATATATATACACACATATATATATATATACACATATATATAGTATCTTAGTTAGCGACTTGCGGGGACATGTTATTTTTGTTCCCGTTCTGTTGTTTTTTTTTACTTTTTTTATACTATTTTTATCATATTTATATATATTTTTTAATTTTTATTTTATTTCTATTTTTTATTTATACATATTTAAATTTATTATTTTAATATAAAAATATATTTTTTATATTAATTTTTGTTATTTTTATTTGTTTATTTTATATTATTTTTCATTTTTAACTTCATCTATTCACAAAAACAAATAATTACAATAATATAACCAAATTTAAACCTTTCCGTAACGTAATGTATAAATATATATATATATATATATATATATATATATATATATATATATATATATATATATATATATATATATATATATATATATATATATAACAAAATAATAACTTTTGCAGTACTTGAATTTATATTTACAAGAATTATATAAGTAGCTTCTTTTAAACAGCAGGTTAGTTAGTGGTATCAAATAATTGTACAGAGTTTTTTGTACAATTTATGATTATATTTAACAAGTTATTTAATAATATTATTACCTAATAAAAATGTATTCACGATTTTATGTACGCATTTCCATGTTTATGTTAGCAATAGCCTTTTTCAATAAGTTATTTAAGTTATTCTTTTAGAACAGTTTATGCAGAAAACATTAGGCTGTAATTAATTGTTGTAAAAAACATTTGTGGAATATTTTTTTTATTAGATAAAAAAACAGATAGATAAACTTTAGTCTGTTTTCCGTTTTTTTAAAAAATATATTTTTAATTTATTTTATTAATTTTAAATATTTTTTTATTAATCATAGTTTTAGTAAATAAATTTATTAAACTTAATTAAAATTCTTTTAAAATTTTTAAAACGTTTCGTTTTACAATTTTAAGCAATTTTTTATATATAAAGCACAACAACATCAGTGTTATAACAAACATCAATAATAAACACACTTTATAATAAGGAAAGTACGTGCAGAGTTATTTACAGGATGAGCATAAAAGTATATCATTGTTAAAAATAAATCATAAATTATGTAGTAAAATACCAGATTCTCATGAGGAAATAGATATAGTATTGACTCTTAAAATGATTCAATACTCTGGTATGTGATGTTTCGAATTTTTTAATATTCATTCCTAGAAACCCCCGTCAGGGTATCATCCTCAAAACAAGCAAGTAAAACCCACCTCTATGTCTGCGTCTAAGCTTTCTTATGTTGCAACATTTGATAGGGCATACTACTGTGAAGTCAAAAACCCCTAACTCTTTCCCATTTAAAAAGATATGCACTGATATACTTTTAAGAAAGTTAGTAGAACTTATTGGCAGGAGGTAGTTTTAAGGGACTGAATCTAAAAATTAATACTAAACAGCTTAGTAAGTGCTGAATACTTATTTTATACTTATATTAACTAATTCTACTCCAAAAGTAACTTATAGAATGTACATTAAAGATAAAAACTACAAAAAAAATATATATATATATATTTTATTTTTTGTAGTTTTTATCTTTAATGTACGTGCCAAATTTGAAAATTTTCGTGCCAAAGGCCAAAAGGCTTCAAAAAAATAAATCTAAGGAATTATCAAAAGCAGCAGCATCGCCTTATCAGATCAAAATTATTACTTTGTTAAAAAAAACAAACAACTGAACTGATGGACCCAGAAAACCCTTAGGGTGAACTACAGAATCAGGATTGGAAGTTGACATAGGCAGTCAAAAGATGGTCTTTATCATTTTCTAACTTGAAAATTTTGTTAGAAAAGCGGAGGATTTCAGTAAAATTGATAAAAAATTTTTGGACAGCAAGCACTATATTTTCATTGCGTGGCACATTGCAGCAATCTAATTGTAAAGGATACATATGCAATACCATCACTACTGTCAGATTCTCTTAGCATTGTCCAGTCAATTTATGCAATTGTTGGGGCATATCCAAAGCATGTTGCCTTTTTCAAACGTACCCAAAAGAATATATTGGATGAGTCTGAATAAGATCAATACAGATTATTGCAACTGAAGTCTATGTCAATGACTCGATGGGCAACACGAACAAAAGCAGTAAAAGTGTTGTTGAAGAAGATTCAGAACTCCATACAATATTGAAGAGTCTTCAGAGTGACAAGACTATTACTGCAGAAACAAGAGCACAAATTAAATTTTTTGCTATTCTAGAGAATCTATCAAAGCAGTTACAAGAAATTAATCTGACACGTGATATTACAGTATTCTGCATTTGAAATGCGTCTCAGAGATTTGCAGAACTTAGATCAGAAAAGCAATTTAATAAAATTTCAAAGGCAGCACAAATACCTGGAATCAAGCATGACAATGAGTCTGAAACTGAAGTTATACAGAGACAAAGAGTAATACTTAAAACATTACGCGGTTCAGAAATTAATGAAAAGCTTACATTGGGCGGTGCAATGACTGATCCTGTTAAATCAGAGCACAAACAAAGGAAATCTTATTTTGAAGCAACTGATGCTATTCAGAACAGTTAGAGGACAGATTTGAACAGGATGGATTAACAGCTGTAAAAAAATGTAGAAAGGGCTAAAAAGTTTAAAGGGGCTACCAGCAATTATTACCCTGTACAATCCTATTGCATCAATAAAAATACAGAGTGTTTCCAGAGTGGCAACAACTGTAGATATTTTCAATGCCATGCCAGCTGCAAAAGTCGCCAATAAACAAACACACAAATTAATGAAGCTTTACTACAACATGCCTCTATCAACATCATCATGTGAAAGAAGCTTTAGTGTAATGAGGAGAGTAAAAATATGGGTTAGGTCACAAACTAGAAGCAATCACCTGAACAACATATATATATATATATATATATATATATATATATATATATATATATATATATATATATATATATATATATATATATATATATATATATATACACATATGTAAATATGTGTATATCTATATATATCTATCTATCTATCTGAAAAACACACATATATGTGTATATGTAAACATATATATATATATATATATATATATATATATATATATATATATATATATATATATATATATATATATATATATATATATATATATATATATATATATATATATATATATATATATATATGTTTACATATACACATATATGTGTGTTTTTCAGATAGATAGATAGATATATATATAGATATACACATATTTACATATGTATATATATATATATATATATATATATATATATATATATATATATATATATATATATATATATATATATATATATATATATATATATATATATATATATATATATATATATATATATATGTTTACATATACACATATATGTGTGTTTTTCAGATAGATAGATAGATATATATATAGATATACACATATTTACATATGTATATATATATATATATATATATATATATATATATATATATATATATATATATATATATATATATATATATATATATATATATATATATATATATATATATATGTTTACATATACACATATATGTGTGTTTTTCAGATAGATAGATAGATATATATAGATATACACATATTTACATATGTGTATATATATATATATATATTTATATATATCAACCCTTGGAATTAGGAAAAATGAGGTCGACAATTTATTGCCGACCTCAATCTTTTTGAGGTCAGGTCGGCAAAAATTAGTTGATATAAAGGTCTGACCACAAAATATAGAAACAAGATTGGCAATTTTTTACCGACCTCAAACACTTTCAGGTCGGCAGTTAGGTCAGCATTGCCGAATGCCGACCCTAATTCCAAGGGTTGAAAAATATACATATATGCATATCAACCCTCGGAGTTAGGGTTGGCATTCGGCAAAGCTGACTTAACTGCCAACCTGACCTGAAAGTGTTAATGGTCGGCAAAAAATTGCAAACCTCATTTCTATGTTTTATGGTCAGACCTTTATATCAAATAATTTTTGCCAACCTGATGCCGACCTCAAAAAGATTAAGGTCAATAAATTATTGCTGACCTCATTTTTTATAGTTCCGAGGGTTGATGCATATACATATATGTATATATTGTACATAACAATTAAAAGATTGAAAGATAAATATGTATATTTAATATATTTGTTTTTATTTGTGTTTACATTTAATTTTGTTAACATATAATAAAAAACTCACAAACACTTTTTTTTTATTTCATAAGATGTTCACACTGTGTAAAATATGGTATCTTCTAAAAGTATGTTTACTATCTGAATGTCTACTCAGTATTCCAATATTTTGGAATAAACTGAACCCGATAATCAGTTAGTAAACAAATTTTATGTGTATATTTCAACCTTGGAATTAACTGGCAAATTATTCAATCATTTATATCAATAATTTGACTTGATTCTAACAAAGTTTTTTTACAAAAAATATAAAAATTCGTGCAAAACATAACAATGTTTTGGATTAACCAAAATGGTGGCTGAGTTTCAAAACTGGGTTCACCACGATTTATATAAAGTGTATACTACGGTGTCTTCTGTTTATTAAACCTCCTTGGTTCAGTCGGATTACCCGCAACATCTTCAATTCATTGACCTGTAAGTGAAAGGTTCTTACTGCTAACACCTCACACAACCAAGAGATTAACAGAATAGCATTTAAGAGTTCACCTGAATAAATATTCGCAACCACAATAACAAAGACACACAAAGCTTCAAAAGTATACCTATGCACCTAATGTTTTTCTGAGACAGTTGGTCCAGTCTAGACTATATCTCTCGTTTATTTAAAATATTAAGCACATACCCTATGCCTAGCTTTCATTAATCTGAAATAATCTTTATTAGCTTTAAC